AAGTAAGAATAAAAATTAGTTTTCTGAAAAATTTTACTCTAATAGCATTGTTCTAAAGGTAACCAAATTCTTCAGACAAGTCAATATTCAGTATGACGTCACAATAATTTATTTTATCAGTATTCTTATTATAAGATGTTTTGAAAGTGTTTGATATCTGAAAACCTTATTCCAATCTGTAACATCTTTCGATAGCTCTATAGTACTTTCTGATAATACTTTATATCTAGGAACTAATGTCATATTCAATTTATCCGCGTTCTTTGTCATGAAGCTATCGTTTAATGTTTGAAATTCTGAATTCCCCCCCCCAATCAATTTCAGAAATATTTTCAATAATAAACTTTTCAAGTGAAATCTGATATCTAAAAATGATATAATCTATTATACATTAATTAGGATATTTATTTTAATAAAACAGCACGGTAATCTTGTGGGTTTATCTTGTATTGCTATGGTTATTACTCTTATCATAAAATGTTTCTGTATGGAGTTTCTTTCAAATTTGCCTATTACCTTTCGAGATATTAAACAGTATATTTTCGCTACCTTAATTGGAGGCACTAATTTATAAAAATATTAAAATCTAATAAAATTACATTCCTCTCATCATTTTTACTGTATTATTATTGTTGAAGCAGGAAACAGAAGTATCTTTCAAAATAACATTTTATCCCCTCTAAACTTTTTTTTCAGAGTTGCACCTATGGATACGTAAAAATAAACATTTCGGGAACTGATGAACAGTACACGTTTTGCTCTTCCAATGATATTAAGAACCCAATAATCAGTTTGAATCATGTGACGATAATATATAAACAACATACCAATTATGGGTATACCTCCCGTTTTGAGCTGATCTATAATACAGGTAATTTTTTTCTTCATCATATTACACTAAGCTTAAAATTAATGCTATTATATTACTTAATATTTTCATTGTAATTATAATAAAAATCTCAGTTAATTGCTGACCACATGATTTTCTTTGACATTAAATTCTCAAAAGATAAAAGAATAATTTTACCGCGTCTTAAAATTTTGTTAACATTTAGAAAATTTAAATATTACTTCAGGCCATTCTTTAGATTTTGATTCATCATCGCTATGTGTCCTTCCCATTCTCCCTCAAAGGGTTATTAATTACTCCTGGGTTGGTTCTGAGTTTTTTTAGCTCTGTGTTGATTCTGGGAAAATTCTGTAAAGTAGTGAGGGTCCGGGAATAATCTAAGATCATTCTTATTATTGATGAGTTGAACAACCTTCTTCAACAGCACAGCAAATATTACTGACAGTGCTACAGAAAAATTGTTAAATGAAAGGGAATCACTTTATGACAGGCATAGCTTGAAATGGCTGTCAGAGAAGGTCCGAGTGTACGGGAGGCATATTTCACAAGTGCACATCTCTGTAGCCACCGAGGCAGTGGCTTCTAGGATAGACCAATGAGCATCCAGTAATATTTCTTATCAAGTCACATGACCTTTCGCGTGCTTTAAGATTTAAGCAAGATGGTTGAAAATATTCTGCCACGCAGATTTCTGTGCAAAATAATTAAAGCATCGTCGATTGCTTCTGACACTTTTCATTGCGAAGTTAGATCATATCTAGGAAATTATGAAGATTTCACTACCTGGTTGAAATAAATACAAACACATGTTGGATACTTCGCAAAAACATCGATGTGAATATTGCTTAATAAGTGTAATAAGATAAAGGAAAGAAATACGTGATAACATCTGAGCCCAAAAAATGCAATCTTTACATAAAAGTAGTGTTTTATGTAAAAAGAAGTCAGCATTTTTTTATTGCAGTTATATGAAAAGATGTTCTATAATAATAACCGAAGCAGAATTTTATTCAAAGTGATTTTTACTAATTTGCATTCGTGTACATTTAGTGAATTAAATTTCATATTTAATAAAAGCTCATTCTTAAATGTACTGTCTACACAAGAAATACTTATCAAACATAGTGAATTTATCGTATTCACAACGAGTATATTCAATTTATTCACATATAATTTTTAATGTTAACAATGGATATAATCAGATCATATGTGTTCTGTATCTTACACTTTCAAAATCAAAAGAATCCAAGCACTGAAATAAGAAAATACTAGAGTCATTGTAACACTTTCAATCATTTTCAGCTCAATTAAAAAAATATACACTTGAATTCTCTTAATCCACATAGTATGCCGTTGAACATCAATCCTAATATTAATGCGTGATAAAATTCGCGAAAGTGAAATGTTAGCGATTAATCAAACTCAGAAAACGAAAGCACTACGAGATTTTCTACTATTACGTCATATATTTAAAACTGCGAAACAAATGTAAATTAAAACGTAAACAAAATACGCTCACATGCACGAAGATTTAGCGTCACAAGAGCAATAGCAGCTCATTGGTCCATTTTCGAAACCCTTCCCTCAGTGGCTACGCTGATATGCACTTGTGAAATATGCGTACGAGATTTGCTGGCAAGTAAATGGTATTCCTAGAGTCGCTCAAGTCATGATAAAAAAATATAAAAAATGCCTAAGAATTGACGAGAATTCATTATTGTAAAGACCGGTTTACCTCTCTTTTTTTGAGTAGTAAAGTTAACGGCGAAAAACATGGACCCAAAATTTTTATATTATTGAGCGATATGCATTCATTAATGACAGATCCCTTTAAAAGTTTTGGTGATGCCAAAACCTTTGTGTAGAGATACTTCATTCAGAAACTGGGTTTTAAGTTGCTCCTATACAGGGCATGCTGTGTGTTTTAAATGTTTCTAAATGCTTTGTGTTTTAAATGTTCCATTTGATAACCCTTATTCTTCACCATCTTCTTACACCGCAATTTCCAAGATAATAAAGCCTTTTTAGTATTAAAATAGGTATTTTACTCCATTCCTCTTGAAAAACTTTCCAAACTCCAAGGAAGGTTGTAGGTCGACCCCACATAGCACAAAAACATCCTTGGTATATCCCGAGGATGTTGCTCGCGGGATATGCGCACATCCTCAGGACATCCCGGAATATCCCTCAAACCTCCTAAACACCCCCTCCCGAGTGCATAATGTCACATCCCAGTACATCCTAACTAAGTCCCATTGACAGCGTACGAGATGTTATTAGGATATGAACTCCTACTTACTACATCCTCAGGACATCCCGTAATATACCAATTTCCTCCTAAACTCATCCTCCTGAGTACTTAATGTCACATCCCAGTATATCTTTAGGACATCCAGAGTCGTAGCTAGGGTTTTCAGCGCCCAGGGACAACTGAAGATTTCGCGCCCCCTACTGCTTGCCAAGGATGGAAAACATTTAATTTTAAAATATCATAACATCAGTTTGTCGCCCCTTGGATTCTACGCCCGGGGACAGATGCCTCCACTTGCCCCCCTCTAGCTACGCCCCTGAGGACATCCTATGTAGGTCCCACCGACAGCGTATGGGATGTTATCAGGATTTGAAATACTAGTTACAATATCCCTTTAACCTCTTAAATACATACTCTCAACTGCTTATTACCCAGTATATATACGCTGACTACCAATAAGTATTTTGACACCTGTGATAGAAAAGAAAAAACTAAAAACTTTATTCAAAATCAATTAGGTTGTAGAGTCTCAACGAGAGGTAATTACAGCGTTGGTGGACCTCCGGGGCATACTTTCCACAAGTCTTTGTATGACAGCTAGTGGTATTTTCTTCCACTCGGCTTGCAGAAGACATAGAAGTTCCTTCCCCGATTTTGCACGGGTAGTGCACCCCTGAATTCGGCGATGCAACTCGTCCCAGAGGTTCTCGATAGGGTTTAGGTCTGGACTAACTAAGTCCCATCAATAACTAAGTCCCATCAGAACTAAGTCCAGTCCATTCGATGAATTTCTTTGGCACCATACCAAGCCTTGGTTAACGTCGAAACATGACAACTGGCATTGTCGTCCTGAAAGTAACAGGGGTCCAACCCGTAAAACTTCCACAACGTAGGAAGCAGATTGTCATCCAAAATAGTGCAGTAGGCATCGGAGTTGAACTTACCATGAATGGGGACCAAGGGTCCCAGCCCATACCAGGAGAAACACCCCCAGACCATAATTCCACCTCTGCCGAACTTGACTTGGCACAATGCATTCTGGCAGGAGATGTTCTCCAGGTTAGACGCCCAGACCCAGACCCTGCCATTCGGAACGGTAAAGGTGTGAACCTGATTCGTCATCGAAAAACCCGTTTCCACTGACCTATGGTCCAATTTCGTATGCTTTTGCACCACATTAAAACAGAGCAGCGCAGTTGGACTTTGTAATCAAAGGCTTATGGGCAGTAGCACGACCATGAAAACTAAACAGATGTGCTTCTTTACGGATGGTATTCATTGAAACAATACTCCCGGATGCCTGTTGAAACTCCTCGCGGATGAGGACCATCGGTTGGGTGCGGTTCTTCCAAATTTCTCTGGACAGCACTCCTCGGTCTCTATCTCCCAGTTTCGTTGGTCTGCCGACTCGGGGCACATTTCCGACAATCACCGCTCACCTTCCACTTCTTAATCACATAGGCCACTGTCGATTTTGGGTACTTCAGATCGCTAGATATGTCCCTTAAAGATCGGCCACATTTGTGATACCCGATAATTATACCTTTCTCGAAATCAGAGAGCTTCGAACTGCGAGGCATCTTGCATGCGACTAAAGCCGATGCTGTTTCCTACACGATATATACCGGTGGAGTCCGTGACGTACCTTAGGACCGCAGATATCGTCATTTGCGTAGGTGTCCAAATACTTATTTGTAGTCAGTGTACAAAGAAACTTCCAGTGAAAGTATGTGAAGGTGTTGTGATGATCTAAAACCTACTTATTTTACACAGTCTCAAATCCTTCTACTATGGAAAATTCAGAAATGTTGAGAATATTTATACAACTTATTTTGTTTTTAAATCTGAATTTGTGAATATATTAAAACTAAGCAAGGAACTTAAAATGAATTATTAATACAAAATATTACGTTTCGATAATTCGCTTTATAAATGTCCAAAAGCGGTCGTGGGAGATACATCAGAAGATTTAGTTAGAGCTATGAGTGAAGAGTATGGTCTTGATACCTGTTTCTTGTTCCATTTTTTCCAGGAAATTAGCAGTGGATTTTGACTCGCGGCTGCTTGCTCTGTCTTAATGCAGTTTTGCTGATTAATGGCATTGTGGGTAAAGAGGAAGTATTTCATATTTGAGAACTGGGTGTAAAATATGTTCCTGATAATATATGGAATTGACCTTAACAGTTTTCTGCACTGCCTTTAATTTTTGTTTGTCGTTATATAAAAAATACACTACAATCATAAATCCGTTTGAAAAACCTTCTTTAGATTCTTTAAACTATCCTCTAATAGTTTTTCTTCTCTTTGATGGTAATAAATAGATCTCTTTTTATTGCAGTCATTTAAGGGGGCTCATACACCTTAAACCCCTTATGATCTTCGAATATGTGACTGTTGTAAGAATTGCGATATTTTATTTATTTTAAAAGCAATTACTTCCAACCTTTTACAAATGACTACATAATATAGCTGCTTTGGGAACTAGTAACCAGAAAGTTTGTGTTGCCACAAATATTTTTATAATTTAATCTGCTTTGTGACAAAACGTTTCGTCATGTTTTCATTTTGTGCGCATGATATTTTAAAAATGGCTAATGGTACATACTTGAAATTAGATGGAATTCTTTAAATGGGCACTATTTTCTAACTGAACCCAAAATCTGATGAATATTTTAATATTAAAAAAAAATATGCACGAAAACATTACAGATTTTTTTAATAAAATACATTTTATATACTCAACTCCAAATAAAATAAAAAATTAACACGAAATTCATAGAATTTTTGGTTCACAGTATTTCCAAATGTTATAAAATATATATTAAATATGGAATTAAATTATGCAACAGAATGTTTTAAAATATCATGCACGCAAAGTGGAAACATGACGAAAAATTTTGTCAAAGAGCGGAATTAAGTTACAAAACTATTTGTGGCAACACAAACTTTCTGGTTACTAATTCCTAAAACAGCTATATTATGTAGTCATTTGTAAAAGGTTGGCAGTAATTGCTTTTAAAATTAAATACAAGTTATCCCAATTCTTGCAACAGTCACATATTCCAAGATTTTATGGGTTTTAAGGTGTATAAGTCCCCTTAACTACTCCTAACATTCGTCTATTTTGATAATATTTTTCCATTTTTGTCTGGATAAATGTGTCTCATAAAAAATTCCGCAGCATTTTCTGCTTTTAGCGATATCTCGTGGAGAAAGACGATGCGTTTTTTCGGCCTTTTAAGATTCAAATATGCATCAATCACTTTGTTTACAACTGACACTGAGCGTTTTAAAGATAATTCAACTGTCTTTCGACATCACAGATTTTCTTTTAATATTAAAGTTCTTACTTTTGCAACATTGGAAACATTCCTTTTTCTCCTTGAATATGTATTTTGAACTAGTTTCCTCCTGGAAACCAAACTCTGACGTTTTCCCTTTGTTATTGACAATATTATCTTTTGTTGCTTTAGATACCGAAAAATCATGGCTTTCGTAGAATTTTTAATAATTCAATATGAGTAATTTTCTTCGGGAAGAACGTAAACTTAGCCTTCTCTTCATTGCTACTTTAAAAGTGCCATTTTAGAATGAAAATAAAATACTCAAGCAGAAACGACAATTTACACTTTGGAAAATATAATTGGAGTCAATTTTTTTTCCGAGCAGACGATTTTTTGTAGCAAAGTAATGTCGTCTAAAAGTCTCTGTAAAATAAAGTAACTAAATTTGATGATTTCTTTGTTCCACGTTACATTCTTTGATCTATCCTTAGTTTTGGCACTCTCTTCTTTGCCCTGTTCTTGTTTTAACACATTTAAACTTCCAATCATCAATCCATCTTTAAGTAGTTAACATTATTTCCCGAACACTTTTAATTAAGTTTGAGTAAATTTCTATTCAAACAGTTAAGTATGCGGTTAGTAAAATTTAATGAGTCGCTATTTTTTCTTTATTTTATTACATATCAATACACTATTTTTCCTTTTTTTCACTACAGGGTATGTAATATACTGTTCACTGACATATATTTTTATACAAATGTTTTTTTTTTTTTTTTTTTTTCTATTCCAGAGAATATTATTTGTACACAGCCTAACACTTTCCGATGTTCAAATCATTACTGTGTCCCAAAGTATAAGGTATGCGATGGTGTTAAGGACTGCGAGAATGGAGCTGATGAAAAAGGATGTGGTAAAGAATACATTATTTTCAAAGTTTTAATTCAAAATTTGTTATCACTGTTGTCTCATAGAAATACTGCAATTTATTGATTTTTTTGTACTTTTTTATTTATTTATTTTTTATGTAGCAGTAATAGTGCAGTTTCAATTTGTACTTGTAAAAGTTTTTGTAAAATTAAATACGAGCTAGTTTCGTTAGAAACTTGAAAGCGTTCCTTCCATTTAGGCATTTGGTGATAGCGGAATTGTCTGAAATCAGTAAAATAAATATACATTTCAAAATATAATTTCGAACCATTTTTATTAGTTCATCATCAAACACAAATTTTTCATTCTGCACTGGCCTGCGTGATATAAAGAGCAGTCAGGTGTTCACCTACAACTCTGTTCTAAAGCAGCTTAGATATGGGTTATAGAGTTAGCAGTTATATAAATGGTATTATGGAAATTATCGAAATTATAAAAGAAAGAAATACAACTATAAGGTATTTCTCCCACTTTCCTAGCGTGCCTTCGTGGTGTAGTGGTTCTGCACGCTGGGCCGGTATTCCAGAAGTCCCTGGTTCGATTTCCGGGGAAGGCCGTTGCTAATTTTTTATCTTGCCTGCTTCGAAATAAAATATCTCTACAATATAAACATGAAATTGCCCTCGTTATTTTGGTGCAATCGGCCGCCAAAAAGTATATAATACTGTATATATAATCCACTCTGTTACTCGACTCAGTGAGCTCAGTTTTTTTTTTTTTTTTTTTTTTTTTTTTTATTCTTATATGTTTATAAATTGTGCATTTTTTGCTTTAAAAATGATTGAATTATGTAGTTCTTATCTTCCTGTTAAGGTTTTTATACCTTTAGTTAACTTCCAACCAATAGTTGTAGAATTATATCAACAATTTAAAATATTGTAAAACAATTATTATAAACGATTTAAAAGTTGCTTAAGTGCAGCTAAGCCTAATTCTTTTTTACTATAGCAGCAATGTTTGTTTACATTTGAAACTTGGCAGAATAGTGGGTTTGTTGCCAATCTAGAGAAACTAAGCTTCGCAACAACAAAGTAACGTCTTCTTTTAATACTGAGAATTAAATTATGTTTAATCCATTCTGGAATTATGATTTAAGTTATAAATTTATCCGATATATTGACTCAGCATAGTGCCCACAACAACTTAAATCAGTTTCTGCTCCTTCAATGTCTTTTTGCCGAGTTACCAAAAGTAAACTTTCAGTTTTGTGCACCGAAAAATCTGTCTTTTTGCACGCTGGCCGAATTGCTTGTTTTTGCGTAGAAACTGTAATTTAAATTGTAAAATTTAAAAAAAATAATTTAACTGCATTTGGTGTTTTATGTTTTTCTATATCTTTACATTTTTAATGAAGATATTTTGTTTTAAATACTAGGCATATTCATATATATATATTATTTTTTTTAAAATTGTTTTGTAATTTTGTTTTATATATATGCACCATATACCCATTCTGTTACTCGGCTCCATGAGCTCATTTTTTTTTATTCTTTTATGTTGTTAAATTGTGCCTTTTTTGTTTTAAAAATGATTGAATTATTTATTCCGGTTAAGGTTTTTATGCCTTTAGTTAACTTCCATCCAATAGTTATAGAATTATCAACAATTTAAAAGTTATTTAAGAGCGGCTAAGCCTACTTTTTTTACCATAGCAACCATATTTGTTTACATTTGAAACTTAACAAAATAGTGGATTTGTTGCCAGTCTAGGGAAACTACGCTTCGCATCCACGAAGATAACGTCTTCTTTTATTATTGAGAATTAAATCATGCTTAATCCACTCTGGAATTACCATTTAAGTTATTTAATTATCCCATATATTAACTCAGTGCCCACAACAAATTCAGTTTCTACGCCTTTAATGTCTTTTTGCCGATCGAGACGAAAAGTAAACTTGCAGTTTTGTGCACCGAAAAATATGCCTTCTTGCCCGTTGATTTATTTTCTTGTTTTTGCGCAAAAACTCTAATTTTGATTGTAAAAATTGTTTGTTAAATTGTTTTAACTGTATTTATGTTTTATATATTTTTTATATTTTTCCATTTATAATAAAGATATTTTGAGGTTTTATATATTTTTGCCTTGTCGCGAAGTAAGAACTGAATTTATTGAATGAGAAATATATCTCTACTAAATTCAAGGAAATAAGTTTAAACGAAATACGGGAAAAAGTGCGTCTAATTAAATATTCCATACAAAGAAGGCATGTGGTGTACACATCAGATTTTTTAAAATGTAATTTAAGTTTCTCTGCATATCGTTTAGTAATGAATTTAAATTACATGTTTCCACTACTAAATTAGGCTGTTGATAGCAAGAGAAAGCAGTTTAATAATGTTCTTTCATGTGTACCCCTGATATATACAAACCAATAAACAAAGTCATAAATTATCGAAAACCTACGCATGTAACTTGAATAAATATTTCAAGTATTTTTTACATTTAGCATGTCCAAAAATGATGTTCATCACGCCTAGACTTTTCAAGAAAACTTAAATGTAGGCGAATGAGTTATTCCACGGCAGATTAAAATGTATACTAATAAGAAAAGTAATATTATAACTATTCAGCATATTCAGTGTAACCATAATGTCTTTATATTTTTGCGATATCACAGTAATTATAATCTTTTAAATTTTTACCCTTTAGGGCAAGTATTAATTTTAGATCTCAAATGCAATTTACTAATTTTTAAGCAATCGTAATCTGCTATAAATATTATTAGTGAATATTTATATTACAGTTATTATAATGGGCATATTATATCTTTGTTATGTTTTACAGAAAAAGGTGTTCTTGCTGTTCGTGGGATTTCAGAAAGTCGCCGCAATGCTATTTTATGGTTGAAAAGTAAACGGACAAAGTCTTGGGGCTGGAAGGAAAACACACATAGAGCTGTCGTTGCTCTTTATTTGGCAGATGGAGCTAAGTTTAATGGCACAAACGAGGAGGATGAATTAATGGCCAAGCAAGTAGAACTCAAAACTTCTGTTGCTATTTTAAGGTGAGCATTGAGACTTAACGTCACCATTTATGCTAAAAGCCTCTTTATTTTTTTATTTCCTTGTACGAATTAAAGGAAGTATAGCAATGGCAAAAAATTTTGAGTATCATATTTCAACCGGTCTCGAAACCATTTGAACGATGTTTTTGCGTGACATGTGCAAGTATGGACAGACTAAAGGATTGTTTTTGCCAAAAAAAACGATTGTAAAATGGATTCAGAACAGATTTTTTTGCCTTGATATCTGCATGTACGTATGTATGTATCTTATCTAATTCAAGAACGAGTAGCTATAGAACGTTGAAATTTTGTATATGGGACCGCTATAACATGTGGTTGTGCATCTCCCTTTTTCGTTGCAATTGGCTGCACCAATCATATTATATATATATATATATATATACTGTGTTAGCTGGCTCGGTGAGCTTCATTTTTTAATTCTTGTATGTTGGTATATTGAGCATATTTTTGCTTTAAATGTGATTGAATTATGTGCTTTTTATCATCCGGTTAAGATTTCTGTGTCTTTAGTTAATCTGCATGCAATAGTTTTACAATTACCAAAAATTTAAAACTTTAAGGTTGGCGAGTTAAGCCTAAAAAACAACTATTCGGGTACATTTGAAACTCAGTTGAATAGTGAATTAAGTCGTTTTCTGCACCTTCAATATCTTTTTGCCGAATGAAATCCAAAGTGAACTTTCAGTTTCGTGCACTTGAAAAAATTGTAAAAATTGCTTTTTTAACTGTATTTGGTATTTTATGTTTTTCTGTATTTTACAATTTTTAATCAATATGCTTTGGGTTTTTATGTATTTTTGCTTTGCCGCGAAGTGAGAACTGAATTAATTGAATGAGAAATATATCTCTAATGAAATTCGAGGAAATAAGTTTAAATGAAATGCAGCAAAAATTGTACATAATTTAATAGGCCATACAAAGAAGTAACGTACTGTCCACATCAGACCTATCAGTTACATTTAAGCCAAAAGTAGAAAATTGCATTAACTTGAACTGCTAAAGCCGAAACAAGCTGTATATAAAGCAGGGGGAAATTAAGCTCATAGTATATTATCTGACAACTCCCTGCGTTGTTAAAGTGCCGCTTAATGAGTGAATGATACTATTTTTATACTGTTCTTCGGGAAAAAAGAAAACAGACCCTGGAAGAAATTCTTTGAACTCACAGGTCAACTTTATGATTTACTGCTATTATATTTTTGCCTTATTGTGCTAAATACTTATTACACTGGTTATCATAAATTAAGGAAAAATCACAAAAATAGCGATAACTCCCTCAAAAATAAGCCAAACAGTGTAAAATTTGAATATGCTGCCAAGTAAGAGTAGCTGAGTAAAACTGCAATATGCAAATTAGTGGCGCTGCACTCGGAAAACATTATCTGAGAGGAGCATAAAAGTCCATGTTTGAGAGCAAGCCCACATATTTCACTGTGACAGTGACATCAGAAATCTGAGATAGCCAATTCGTAACAATGACCTCCAGGCATCATTTGCCTGTAGAAGTACGATGGAAAGCCATTGGGAGACTAGAGGCCGTTTGCAGTAGGCACGACACTGGACGCCTGATCAGTGGAGGGCTGTTATCTTTACGGATGAGTCCAGGTTTAGTCTAGAAAGCGATAGTAGGCGTTATTTGATATGGAGAGAACCTACAACCCGTTATCATCTGTCAAACATCCGTTAAAGAGATGCATACAGAAGAGGCAGTGTCTGTGTTTGGGGTGGCATCTCTTTGGGTGGGCGCACAGATCTCCATGTCTTTCCAACGGAAACCGTGAATGCTCCGATTTATAGAGATGACATCCTTGATGCTTATGTGCGCCCATGTGCCGGGGCAATAGGTGATGCTTTCCTGTTACAGGACGATAACGCAAGACCCCCCAGGGCTCGCATTGTAGACGATTGTCTTCAACAGGAAACAATTATGCGCATGGAGTGGCCAGCTCGATCCCCGGACTTGAATCCTATCGAGCACGTTTGGTATGCTTTAGAGAGACGTCTAGCTGCTCTCAATCCGCCCCTCATACCCTTGCCGCGCTTGCAACTGCTTTGCAAGAGCAATGGCTCTCGCTTCCTATGGAACTGACAGACCGCATAATTGGAAAAAAAAATATCACACATCGCTGAATGTGCTGTATTGCTTTTAGAGGCCACCATATTCCATATTGAAGGTACTCTTCTATAGCAAACTGACACCTTCGATTTGTTCATTTTATACATGTGCTAATTTGCTATACTACCATAATTGTCTGATAATTTATTTTTATGTTATTTGATACCTTATTATATGTTGTATATTGTGGGTAAGTTTTATAAAATTCTACATGCAACTTTTTCAGTAATCGTGATTTTTGTGAAATTTCCTTAATTTATGATAACCAGTATATTTGATAAAAATTAAACTAATGAATGGACAATCATTCCATAGTTTTATATTTAAAGAAATCGTTCATCTGTAATGCTACAATTTAAGAGATTTTTTTGAATACGAATTGAAGTGTCAATAATTTCAGAACAAGTACAAGACATATCATTACTGTACCTGCACGCATTGGTGACAACGCCAAAGTATTCAAGTAATGTTCGCCCAATCATTAAATTACTGTTTTTTTTTTTTTTTTTTTTTTTTTTTTTTTTTTTTTTTTCAGAATCTCTCTTGTAACGTAAAGTTACATTCATTTCAGCAATCTTCTAATCAACACAGACTGAGTACCAAATCTATAAGATGAATATGAAAACAACCCAGAAGAATCTTTGAAATTTTTCCTTCATTCCGAGTGTTATTTATATCTTATGAAAATCATTTTTTTCTCTGCAGCGGCAAGATTTTAATTTCGTGCGCAAGGACTATTATCTAAAAGTTTTGATTCGAAACTGTCTTCGGTTCCTCTGTTTTTTTTTTTTTTTTTTTTTTTTGTTTCCTTGTTGATTTTTATTTATTGTTTTTATTGAATTATGTGTATATGTAAACTACAAAAGTACATTCTGAATATGTGAGAAACGTTGTTGTTCAGTGTGAAAAAAGATCATTTTTACTGTAGTAATAAATATAGTATAGCGTTACAAGTAATCCTTCATTATATACAATAATAATAAAGGTAATGCTTTGAATTTGGTATGTTGTAAGTCATGTAAACTTAAGCCGCTATAAATGATATAAATTAAAAATATTAAAAAATGAAGAAAAAGTATGAATTATTAGAAAACAAATGCATAATTTTTATTTTTTTAGGCATTTTAGCAATACGTAGGATTCCAAGTGGCGTGCTTGTGCGTTTGTTTCTACGCGATTACATCATTTTAATTATAACTGATATGTTTCTTTTTTGTCAGTTAGTTTATTTTCTTATATCTTTCCTGTTGTGTTACTTAACATTATAAATGAGTTCGGAACATCTTGGTGCTTCTGCTGCCTATTAGCCAACAACTGCGGCCATAGGCTATTTTCACCAAGGAGGTTAGAATAGGACCAAGGAGGTTCACCAAGGAGGTCTATTCTAACCTCCTTGATTTTCACTCGCTAGGTGGATCGGGCTTCGTCTTCTTTCCTCTAACCTTGGTAGTCTAATGTGATATTTATAAGTGGCTTGGCAAGGGAACAAAACTATGAAGCAAAAAATAGAAATTACACTCACGTTTGTGAAAATTGCAACACCATGAAGGACTTACGCGAGTGAGCTGAAATTTTCAGGAAATGCAAAGTAGCGCATGATATGCAAATGATTAGAATTGCAAATCCGTAGCGCATGCGTATGCTGAGCAGCGCCCTCTGAACGGCTGATGGATCCGAATAAATAGACGGCTGTAGCGAGGCGTGTATGGTTATCGGTGGTTATCTGCTAGTGGTAAACGTTAACTCAATCTGTACTTATGCCTCGTCGACGAAAGAGAGCGAGATTTGAAACAACTTACAGAGTTTGAACGAGGAAGAAGAATCATCGGCCTTCGTAAAGCTGGATTGTCGTATCGTGCAGTAGCCTCTCGTGTGCAGCGTAACAGCCAGCACAGTGATGCGCGTTTGGAAGCAGTGGACGGGACGAGTGTCGGACAACTCGGAAATCCGGGAGGGACCCCGAAATGTGACGTCAGCTCGCGATGATAGACACCTGGTCCGTATGGCGCGGACGGATCGTACAGCTTCCTCTAGACAATTGGCAGCACTGTGGTCAATAGTACAGGTGTTTCATTGTGTGCTTCATCAATTCGTAGACGTCTGCTGCAGTGTGGACTTGCGCGCACGGACTCCTTTATACAGGATCCCCCTAACGCACGACCATCGCCGCCTGCGGCTACAAGGGCCAATCAGCATAGAGACTGGCGTGCTATTTGGCAGCATGTCGGTTTTCTGACGAATCCCGCTTTAATTTGTGGTACCATGATGGCCGCATTCGTGTCAGACGCTATGCCGGTGAACGCCACCTTCCGGAGTGCATTATCGAACGCCACAGTGGACGAACACCCGGAGTTATGGTCTGGGGCGCCATAGCATATCATAGACGATCTCAATTGCTACGAATTGTGGGCAAGCTGAACAGCAACCGGTATATCCGTGAAGTTCTACAGCCCGAAGCTTGTTCCCTTCCTTCAAAGCTGCCAGGCGCTGTATTTCAAACAGGACAATGCCCGCCCTCATACTGCTCGGATTGTTAAATCCTTCTTTGCAGCGCGCAGCAGGTACAGCTTCTTCCTTGGCCTGCGTGTTCCCCGGATATGTCGCCAATTGAACATGTGTGGGATGTCATTGGTCGGCGTCTTGCTCGTGATCTCGTCCTGTTGCGTCTGCAGACGAACTTTGGGTACGCGTACAAACGATATGGAATGCTCTTCCTCAGTCAGACATTTCAAACTTTGTTTGACTCCATGCCACGTCGTGTAGCAGCACTTATTGCGGCGCGTGGTGGCCACACAAAATACTGATTCTGATCTCTTGTTCTTGTTTGTTTGCTTTGAACATTTAATCATTTATCTGTACCACTACCACTCAACTGTGTATTAAATTGCATTCAATTATGACGATTCCTTCTTGGTGTTGCAATTTTCACAAACGTGAGTGTAAATTATAAACTATTCTAATGTTAAAATTGCGGTTGATTTTGGAATTTTGATTGCTATATATTCTTATTTATGGATAATTACCATTACAAATACATTTATCTTTATTTGTTTACTTTTTGAAACATTGTTGAAAGAGCTGTCTGTTTTAATTTTTCGTTCTTTACTGAAACTTTAACTTTCAAATTTGTTCGAATTTCTATATTTTAATAAACTGTGTTATGACAGCATACATAATCATTAAATATTTCGACTCAACTGTTAAATATAAGAAACTTCTTTTACTTACAGAAATGGGACGGATCCAGTTTCACCCAATCAATTAAGTATGTTTGTAAATTCACTGTTAACAGTGTGTCTTAATCCACGCAAGTTTTACGGATTTGACTTGGTGGAGCTCCTTAAGAATCAACTCAATAATCCATCAATAATTCCAGTCGTATATTTGGCCCTCTGCAATGCAAACGAAACCATGCCTGACGATACGACATCTAAATTGAGAAAAGTTCTTTCGACCCATTCAGACTACCCGTTCTTAATAGGTACGTAATTCGAAAAATTATATGAATCGTTTCTTAGACGACATTCATTTACATTACATTAATCGTAGAAACTTCGTTACATTTAAATGATAAAGATGACTTCATAACATTAATCTTAGAAATGACATTTTTTTTCTAGGTTCCATTTTTGCTTCATGCTTTTTTCAGATTTTTATTTCATTTATGTAATTAACATACATACTGGTAAGGCTGTAGACAGTAATTATCGGTGACGTTCTAGTCTATAAAATTTTCGATATTTCCTTATTATAGTGGTTCCCAAGATTTTATCGCTAATGAACCGAGATATCTCACCAAAGTATAGACACTTGTTCTGAATTAGCATCGTGTTACACTATTGCCGAGGTTTCCGAATTCCCATTCTTTCTTTTTTCTTTAGTTTTTTGTAATATGCGGTAAACAATCTTTAACTTACCGAATAAAGAGGTAGATGCCATGCCATAATTTCAAGAAAAAGTGTCTTTTACCTGAAACTACGAAGCTGACCCAGAAAGTAAGCACCCTTTGCGCATCTGATATCACCCATGTTATGCATACGTAGTTACATCGTTCAACTTGAGAAAGAATTAGCCTAACCAATTTTTTGTCTACATTGACGTTTGAAGTCATTGTTTATCGGTGTTCATTTTTAAAACCATCGATTGCGATCCCAGCAGCGAAATAAGAGTGTTATAGTGTTTTTGAATGTGAGTAATTTTCGACTTTGTGAAATTTATCATCAGATAAGTGAAGGTTTGGTGAGAAAGTAGGTTAGGATATTTAATGAAGGGAGGGAAAATGCCCCTGACGAGAAGCGCAGTGGACACCGGTCGTTGATTACCGAAGAATTGGTGCGCTGGGTCGACAAAAAGTTCGTTCCAATGGACTACTCATGACTTCTGATTTGTCGATGCATTTTCAAAATAGTTCACTTTCTTTATTACTCGAAATTATGATTGAGCATTTGCACTACAAAACACTGTCTTCACGAACGATACGGAAATTACAAATGGGCATTCGAAAACGGAAACGCATGAGAGTCATCTTGGAGTATTTGCAGCTTTATGAAACAAAAGGAAATAATTTTTTGCAAAAAAATTGTCACAAGTGATGAAACATGGATTTGTCACGAGCTACCTGAAATGAAACGACAGTCACTGGAATAGCGGCATATTGATTTCCCGAAACCCAAGAAAGCAAAGCCATTTCTTTCTTCAAGAAAAATCATGTACACCGTGTTTTGGGACTGTTAAGGAATTTTGTTAATGGACTGGTTAGAATGAAGCTTAGCGGAATATGAGATATTGAATAATTTACGGTTCGCAATATAAAACAAAAGGAATGGATAACCGATGGACATTTTCGAGGAGTCTCCATTCTTTAACTGCTGACACGCTTTCGGATAAGTACACACACCTTCAGCAGAAATGACATGTCCAAGGTAAATCATTCCCTGGCTGAATAATTTATATTTGGCAGGACGTAAGTTTAGATTGGCTTCTTTCAGTTTCTGAAGTACCTTTCAAAGACTTTCTAGATAATCTTTAAAACTCTTCCCAACGATGATGATGCCATCAAGGTTATATCATAGAGATTACGTAGAAAAGACCTCTCAATACAGCCTCCATGAAGCGTTCGAATGTTGCAGGTGCATTAAATAGTTTAAACGGCATCACCTTAAATTGCCAAAGTCCTTGTCCGTTAGCAAATACCGTCTTTTCTCAATTATCAGGATGTATCTCTACCTATTAATATCCACTTTTTTAAACCAAGTGTCGAAAATCATTTGCTTCCAGAAAGAGTGTACAGAATGTCGTTAGTTCTAGGAAGAGCTTAGCTGTCTTTCTTCGTAACCTCATCAACTGGTGATAGTCAAAGCATAATCTAATTGAACAGTCTTTCTTTCTGATCAGGACGATAGGAGATGCCCATGGACTTGCTGAAGATTCAATGTCTCACTGCCTTGCATGCCATTTAGAAGTTTTTCTACCTCTTCATGTTTAGCAATCGGTAGACGTCTTAGTTGTTGCTTAATTTGGTGGATAAACTCCAGTATCGATTCTAGGCTGTGTCAAACTAGTTTGACCCACGTCAGAAGACGAGCGGGAGAAAACATCTTGAAATTCTTGAATGATACATTCGGCAGCATTACTCTCTTCATATCTTAAATGTGCATTCTGCAATAACTTCGACGTAATGCTCTCTGAAGATACATATTCTGGAGTATTACTGTTTCGTTTAACGCTAGTGACTGAAGTACACACTGCAATAACTTCACCATTCTTAAAATCTTTCGCCTTGTCAGTTACATTGACACTCTTACTGGGATAACGGTCCTTGATAGGTCGACAAGTGCTGAGGCTACTAGTACTCCTTTCGGGCTGTTACAGTTCTTGAAATATTCCATGACGCCGTAGCGGAAATTTCTATTTTCGGTTAGGAATTCAGGAAATAAAAATTCCGTTCTTGCTGGTATTGTGACATCTTCTTGAGCTATGATTTGGTGGAAAGATTTAATTCCTTCGCCATTATTTCTGTATAGGGTTATGTCCTCAGAGGCAGAATGCAGTTCAGCATTTTAAAGTCCAAGGAAAATTATATTTCCGTAGAAAATCCGAGAATGGCAGCCTTTGTAATGTTTCTACATATGCCGTGTGATGGTATGCGGCACTTCCAAATGTGATGTTAACGTTTAATTCTCCGTCGTTTTCGATCTTCTCGCCGGACACAGTTTAACTGTGTAAACGGATAATGGTAACGTTGGCTCCTGTATCGATTGTTATATTTCAGGGAACTCCATTGATATGTACCATGATGAAAAGTCCTTTTGTGCAGTCACTCATTCCAGAATTCTTAAGCGCTTTAAAATGGGCTTTCCCATTATCTGGCAACATCCGCCTCGCGAGATGGCCACTAATTACTTTCCCTGATTCTTGGTGGGCGTCGTCTTATTTTCTGTGCCGTGGGGTGTTCTGAAACTCCTCTGTAGATGACCTACAACATCGTAGTTCCAGCACTTTAGGGTTACTAATATTCCTTCTCAAGGCATTGACTTATCTCGTTCAATCATCTAGACGAGCAGCCATTTGGACGTGCACACATCTGACTGGGTGTCAATCTCTACGAGTTGCTTGCTGAGCCGGCTCGAATTTCATGGCGTACACTACAGCTGTTTTTTAATCCTTGACATATACCATTCGTAGAGCCTTCTGTGTTTCAGGATCCCGGATGCTATCGATGAAATACTGCAGGAAGAGTAATTCCCTTGTTTCTCTCGGGCACTCCGAAAAGACGAGGTAAGACAGCATTTCAACATCCGTGGCGAGCTCCTGGAGTGCTTCCGTGGGTTTCTGTTGACGGGATTTTTATTGAAGTCTGCTGTACTCTTTTAAATTTTTATCCCAGAACAGAGCTTCTATGTCTAATCTTTGTTTTCCTGTAAGCGTCTGAAGGTTATCCGTTGCGTCTGCTCTCAGAAAGGTAGCAAAGATGTGAGGCCTTGGCTTGGAAATGGCATCCAGTCAATTTCGCCACTACAGAAATCTGTGTCTTATATACTTGAAAGGAGGTCTTACCATCATATGTGGAAAGCTTGGGAGGGAGAAGAGAAGGCATATGTAAAATTTCAAAAACCATCCGAAGTGCTTCCTGCTGTCTCAATGAATTTTTTTAAAGTGTCAACTTCTTTGGTAAGAGCAGAAACTGTGTAATCAGTTTGGTGTTCCACGGCAGAAACTCTCTATTTGTTCTTTGACAGAAGAATCTCTGTAATCGGTTTTACGGTCTACGTCAGAAACTTTTCTATTTGTTCTACTTCATTTTCAACCACGCATATCCTCTCTTCCATAGCCTCAAATTTGTTTTTGATTATGCAGGTTGATTCTCTTTCCATTTCTTTTGACCTGCTCTAATCTTATGTTGATCAGCTTTCAACTCTTTTTTAATGGATTCTTGGCTCAAATTCATCTCTTCTTTGACAGAGTTGACGGCTCCTTCCATATCTCTTGACTCGCTTTCATCTCCTCTTTGACGGATTTAACTGCCTTCTCCATCTTTTCTTGGAATGCTGCACAGTCAGTCACGAGTAGTCTCAGTTGCTCGACAATCGCTCTGTGCATCGGCATTCAGTCCCACTTCTGACACCAAAAAGTGTTGCGTGCGGGCGGGTTTGTGATAGATTGAAAGCACAAGTCCGATAACAGATTAATAAAATTAATTTTATCAAAATAGATGTTTCAGAACTCTGGAATTTTCCGCATAAATAACCGTACAAGTGTTCACAGAATCACACAGTATAATCAGTAGTCACACTTCAAACAACTAAGAACGCTAAACACAACGCAATGCAAAGCGCATCTAAAGAGAAAACTAACTCGGATTTTACTAAGTTAACGCGGAACTATAACTCGCAATAGCAATAATTAAGCACCTCAAAGCAGAAACTCTCTCTTCTGTCATAAACAATTTTCAACTGGCCGCCGAGATATTTCTAGTACTTTCTGCTTCTCGAAATTACTGGAAAGCAATACGAAGGTGGAATTACGGACCGGACTAAAATGTCGCCGAATGATCGCCAAATTGGGCAACTTTTGGAGATTTCTCACCAAATTATCGAGATACCCATTTACTCAATTTGAAATCCACGTGCAATGGTATTCTTAATTTTCCGGCATAGCTTTCTCTTAAAGTTTGTTTCGCGTTACATTACGCAGAAAAATACAATTTTATTAATAATTCTACTAAAATTACCTATCTAATTTATAACATTTAGCTTTATGAATACATTATATGTGCTTAACTTTTTTTTACAAACTCGAATTTCAGATTTCCAAGCTATGGCATCTATGGCTCTTTCTTGTATGAAAAATCGAAAAATGGGCTTAGACAGCGAAGGAAATTTTTCCATCATGCATAATTACCATTCAACCCTCAAGCAATTTAAATCAATGCAACATCAAGATGGCAGCTTTGGAAATGTATATCAGACAGCCTTAGTAACTCAGGTACGTTTTCTCTGAAAGTATATCTCACAAAGCTTATAAAGTATTAGAAAAGTTCGCTTACCAAAATAAAATACATCAGTGCTGAAAAATCAAAAAGCCATTCAGCACAAAAGGAATTATCTTATTCCTGTATGTGTGTTCTCGTGGTGCAATAGGTTTACACGTGTAGTTAAGAGGAGGAAGAATCGTGGTTGGGAAACCGCGGAAAGCGCAGTTGATTGTAGAGATATTAGGTTATTTTGAAGCAGGAGACGTGACAAATATGCGCTCTCCTCGCCGGGACTCGAAGCCTGGACCTTTCGAATAAGCGCCGAGTATGCTTCCAGTTATACCCCGAAGGTATGCAAAAAGGAGCGAGGAAAAAAACCTTATAACTTTAAAAATGCGAAAGAATAGTACGCCAAATTTAACTGCAAATGATTCTAAATTATATGTAGAAATTTTAGTTACACCCCGAAGGTATGCGAAAAGCAGCGAGAAAAAACCTGATAACTTTAAAAATGCGAAAGAATAGTACGCCAAATTTAACTGCAAATGATTCTAAATTATATGTAGAAATTTTAGTTACACCCCGAAGGTATGCGAAAAGCAGCGAGAAAAAACCTGATAACTTTAAAAATGCGAAAGAATAGTACGCCAAATTCAACTGCAAATAATTCTAAATTATATGTACAAATTTTAGTTACACCCCGAAGGTATGCGAAAAGGAGCGAGAAAAAACCTTATAACTTTAAAAATGCAAAAGAATAGTAAGCCAAATTTAACTGCAAATGATTCTAAATTATATGTACGAATTTTTCAGAAGACTTATAAAAATGGAGAATATCCATATTTAAAAAAGAAGTGCTAAAAGGCTTGCTATATTTCGCATAAATTCGCAAAAAATAGCAAGCCAATTTCATAGTAAATAATTCTTAACACCAATCTGTTCCTAATTTCTCTCATTATATACGCTAAATTCAAAGTTGAAGCAAAAATGTGAGATTTTTAAAAAGAAAGAACACTGAATGAAAAACGTATTCTCTGAAAAAGGCGTGTGATTTTACATTTAATATTAAAATTAATAAAATTAACTATCAAAACATAATTTACTCAAGAACACTGTACTTGATATATATATACACTGCTTGACATTGAAAATGCAACACCAAGAAAGTGTGGTCAGAAAGTGATGAAATTTGGAAAAAAGACAGAGACAGCAAGCAACAATAAGTGATCTTTATTTCAAAATGATAGTCAGAATACAGAGCGAGAACGGCGTCGGCTCAGTAGGATGTAAGACCACCGCGGACAGCGATACTTGAAGAAACACGTCTAGGCATAATCAACAAGAGTGCGGATGGTGTCCTGAGGGATGGCTCTCCATTCCCTTTCAACCATTTGCCACAGTTCTTCTTCTGAAAGAGGCAGGGGCAGAGTCTGCAAACGGCGTCGAATCTCATCCCACACATGTTTGATTGGTGACAGGTCAGGTGAGTACGTCGGCCAGGGAAGCAAATGTATACCTTGCAGAGCATGTTGGCAGATGCGAACATTGTGTGGTCGGGCGTTATCCTTCTGAAAAATTGCATTAGGCAGCCCCTGAAGGTAGGGGATTGCCACCGGCCATAGTACATTATCCAAGTATCGTTGGGCCATCATAGTGCCCTGGATACGAACTAGAGGTGACCTGGAATAGTAGGCAATAGCGCCCCAAACCATTATGCCACGTTTTCGCACGGTGGGGCGTTCCACAGTTACTGCCGGATTAGATCTGTCTCCACGTCGACGCCACACACGTATGCGGTGACTGTCACTGGATAAACAGAAGCATGACTCATCTGAGAACACGACGTTTCGCCATTCTGTCATCCACATCGCTCCAGTCCGGTACCATTCTAAACGTTGGCGTCTACGCTGTGGGGTCAATGGCAGTCTTCTTAACGGACGCCGTGAGTGCAGGTTACGTTCAACGAATCGACGGGAAATGGTTCTGGTCGATACGGGACATCCAGGGTATCTTGCACATGCTGCAGAATCGCTACAGAGTGCTGACGTCACTCTGGCTGCACCTGCACCCCCTCCTTCTTCCCACATTTCCTTGTTCCAACCATGTTCGCCATAGCCGATGCACCGTGCTCGCATCCATGTGGGTATCAGCTGCGATTTCACGTAAGGACCAACCCGCCCTTCTCAGTCCGATCACCATACCCCTCGTGAAATAGTCTATCTGCTGGAAGTGCCTTCGTTGCCTCTGGGACAAAAACCAACTTTCTTCGATAATTCCTCTGACAGAAATAACGACACGAATATTGCCCATTCGGCACATTCCTTCCCTTATATCTTACTTCACGTGCGTCGGAGAGCTGCGCATTTCACATCATTCGCATAATTCAGTCACTTGCGTCTACTCTAAAATTTGCATAAATTTCTGACCACTCCTTCTTGATGTTGCATTTTCAATTTCTAGCAGTGTATAATTAAGAAGAATGCAGTTAAAAGATACTAATATTGGTCAAAAAATAATGGTTAAAATAAAACGTTTTGGGGTGAAAAAAAGTAGCGGTTTGAAAATAAGATGAAATAAAAGGAAATCAAGAGAAATTCGATGCTAAAAACTGTACGATGCTTTTAGAAAGCATTAATAGAAAAATATTTTCAGCGTCTCCAAGCAGGAAATAAGAGTATTTAAAATGATTAAAAAAAGCCAATGCTACAGAACAAATCCCTTAAAGAACAAACCAAATTCTATTAACATTAATGTAAAAAACATTAAATCAATATTGTGCTTATGAAATAAGGCACATAGATACTGGAAAAGCAAAGGAATTAAATCCAGCTGTAAGTATCAACAATAAAAAACAATGGAAATCATATAACTTGTTTCATCAAGGAAATACACCATCTCAACAGACACCAGATATTATATTGCAGATTTGGAAGAAGCTCACATCCAAATGAACTCAATTCCAAGTGAACTTCTTCCAAATGAAGTTCTGAATTGACGAATTCGTTGCATGAATTAGAGGAAAGGAGTGCAAAAAATAACGTATTTGATGCTAATGGGTGGGCCATACCAATATCTTATAGCAGACACGTTTCTTTTTAATTTTTTTTAATTGGACATGCAGTTGTCAAAAACATCAAATGACTCTTAAAAATTCCCGAAAATTCAGTAAATCATGTTAGAGATTTAGAATAAATTTCATTTAGTAAGATATTTTTTGTCGGTTCATGCAAACAGCAAAACTCTACGATTAGTAGTTTCATCATTAAGGACGAATATGTGAAAATCCATAAAAAAATGCTTTTATTTTACATTTTTTAAACATGGCGTTTAATAACATTGTTAACCTTAAATTATATTTTTTTAGTAAAATAAATTCACTAATTAAAAAAACATAATTTTGAAAATATAATTTCGAATTGTACGCGGTCGTCGTACGGCTCAAGGTTACTCTACTGCAAAGTTTGCTCTTCTCGGCCAAGATCAACCAGCATGATGACGTTTACATCCTGCCCAAACCAAGATTTCTTTTTCCCATTCTTGTGACGTCACTCAGCAGATAAGATCTGTCACTGTCTCGAGTGAGTGAGTGAGCGCCACCAAGAAAGACCATTTAGACGTAGCAAAGGCTTTCGACAGGTGTTGGCATATCGGAATTTTATTCAAGCTCATGCGACTTGAAATTTCGGCTAATTTCGTGCACATAATGCACTCTTACCTCAATAATCGTACCTTTTCTGTCAAAGTTAAATATTCTGTTTCTTCTCCTCGGCCTATCCTGGCGGGGGTGCCTCAGGGAGGAATTCTTAGCGCTACGCTCTTCAACTTGTATGTAAATGACATACCACAATCACCAAGTGTCGATCTAGCCCTTTGTGCGGACGACACAGCCATCATTTCTCAGCAGCCAACACTTAACGCCACTCTCAATCACCTTCAACTTTATTTAACAGACTTGGAGTCCTGGCTCATTACCTGGAAAATCAAAATTAACGTCGCAAAAAGTGCCGCCACCGTTTTCTTTTCCAGAAAGAGGAACGTCCATAGTCAACTCCAACCACTCAGGTTATTTGAAGAGGAGATACCCTGGGTGGATTCCTATAAATATCTGGGAGTTTATCTAGATGCGAAGCTGCTCTGGAGTACCATATCAACTATACAATAGCCAAAGCAAGAACTGTCAGAACCCAACTAATGTCACTTATCAACCGAACCAGCAACCTCTCTCTCAGCAACAAGATCCTTTATAAGTACCATCCTCCCACTGACTACGCCCGTCGTCGTCTACTGGCTATAGGGTGTGCGGAAAATGTCCCCAAAAGGGAACGGAAAAAGCCTGGAAAATAATGTCACTCGGAAAAGGAACGGAAAAAAAGGAACTCAAAATCTCGCCAAATAATGTCGCCGATTGGAGAGGGGAAACCTGCCAAACGGGCAGGGGATATAGCGGGCTCTCTTGAGGGAGGTTTTAAGGGTAAGACGTTGAGCTGGCTGCAGCTGAGCAAGGTCATTTCGATAGCAGGTTTTTCCAACTTGCCTGCGGGAAAATCGTATGTTCTCCCCCGTGGTTTGCTTCACCCGTTTCCTTAAAGAAACCGACCCACCTCACCCGGAAGGAAAGAATTCACGGGGAGCAAATGTTTCTCCTCTGTTAAATAATGATTGCCGGTTTTTAAACTAAATTTCAGCCATCCGTAACTGGAAGCTAACAGCTTGTTCACATTAAAGTGTGATAAATGACGAATTGTCAGTAAAGACGGCACGCGAAAGCTGCTTGTTTGCAGCATTAAAACTTAATAATTTGATAAGCTGTAAAATTTAAACAGAACTATTGGCGTAGTATAGTCTGTTATTTTTTTATTACGGTTTAACGAAATCTAGCAAGTAATATTATATTATGCATTCCGTTATTATTTAATCTATCCGTAATATGAAATAATAATTTTCTAAACACTAACGGTTTATCATCAGTTAATTTATAAAACGACAGATATTTTATAGTGTCAATTTTTCC